TTCAGACGAAATCACTCGTTCAGGGCCCTTTTTTCAGATTCTGTCTCCAAGGTGACGTTGTGCTCAACAGCGCGCGTGAATCATGGAGTCATTTGATTGGCTCTTAGGCTAATGGGTTAGATTACTTTCAAATCCCTTCATGGTTTTCTATTGATTGTTTTAGAAGAGGAATGACAGCATTTATTGTTGCTTCCCGCAGCTAAAAGAGGTAAACATTTATTAAGCACTTTGGGAATTTGGGTTTCATGTTACTTGGGTCGGTGGAAGGATTCAATACAGGGTCATACAGGAAATAGGCCGTGTTGGACAATATAAACTTCCAACTAAAAGTTTAGACGACCGAATGATGCCGCAAAGGATAAAAGCACAGAATATTTGGTTTCGCATGACGAGCCAAACGTAGGAGACCGTAAAGAGAAAAGCTCACACTAAATAATTGATTATTTATTATGTTTACTTCCATCGTGATCTTGTGCAGGATAAGCAATAGTATGATAAATTTCAGTGAATTTCTCCGAGCTGGCATATTAACTAAGACTGTGTATGTTCGTTGACTTGAATAATAATAATAATTCTGGTCACAACCAGGTCTTAAATTACATGTAGTCCAGTCTAATCTTCTTTGTCACGAAACGCTGACGAGGAGTTTTGTCATGTGGCTTCATCAACCTCGTTGTTCCCAGGGTTATATTTGGTCACACGACAGGAAAATGGCGAAATAACGAAATGGGGGTAAGAGTCAATGTGGGGTGTGGGTGTGTGTAAGGGATCTGTCAGAGGGCCCAGCATAGATTTGGCAAGATGCAGGATGAGAGAATGAAAATGAAGGCGGGATACGGAGTGACAGGACTTTTATGATGAAAAATATAAAAGAAGAAGCCGACACAACGTAGGATAATCTTTTTTGGCGGACGGGAGGCTGAATAGTTATAAAAATGACGGAGGATGCGGAATGAAAATCGGAAAATCACACGTTACGGGCGTTACGCGGAGAACTGCGACCAGGCGGCCGGATCTTCTCGCGCGCTCATTGGCTAATTTTCAAAGTCAATAAGTGGACAGACACATCAATTTACGAGAGCGAGAGCGGACAATTTGACAATTTGTTATCGTAAAAACAAATTGACGTCAGTTTTTCATGCGTCTGTCCTCTTATGGATCATGAATTTCGTCATAACATTGTCAAAGTAGCTGTGGATCCGCAGACTACTTTGACAATGTTATGACGAAATTCATAGTCAATAACAGGGCAGACGCATGAAAAACTGACTTCAACTTGTTTTTTACGATAACAAATTGTCAAATTGTCCGCTCTCGCTCGTTGACGCATCGCACAATTATGGATTCATGTGTCTGTCCTCTTATTGACGATGAAAATAAGCCAATGAGCGCGCGAGAATTTCTGCAGTTATCGTAAAACATTGTTTTTCCCTCGGGATCGGTTATGAACATTTCCTACGCAAACATAGCTCGCAGCCAATCAGAGGAAACTATAGGGATCGTATTACGGCATCAGTTTGGAATTTTTCTGCCCGGCTCTACCTTTCGACGTAGCCGTGGCTAAGTCGAGAAAGCGCTGGGTTCGAGAATAATATGTATACATTGCTCTTCCGATTTCTATCGATAACTTGAACCAAAAGTCGTTTTCCTCAGACGAAATGAATACTGTAATCTTACCCCCGATTTTTCGAACTCTCCAGGTTAGAAAAATCGGGAATCCACTGTATAAAAAAACAGTGAGCTTAAGCAAACCAAGATGGCAACCAGATCGCCATCAAACAAAACAATGGTTGTGCACGTGCGTTATAAATCTTTGCACATTTCTTCGCAGTCCTCTGCACAAGACTAAGTTCTGCATATTTTGGAGAACGCGAACGACAGCGGCTAATTTTTCGAATTTTCATTTGGAATTGAAATCTGGCGTTACATATTTAGCTTGAGCAAGTTCTGAGGTCAGTAGGCGCACTGAACAGATCGCAGTTCGAAGGTAAAATATAAATTCATTTTTTATTAGGCGTTGTCCTCGGGGTCACCGTTGTCATTGCTTAAAAACGCTTAGCTGTTACGGAAAGTTCCGGTTACTCGTTTTCAATTTTCAGTGTGTTTGCTATCATTTTAATTCACTTGTCACAAACTTGTCACGTTAATGTCTATTCAAACTGTGCCAATTAACTTAGGAGTTATTTATCTACTTTTCAAAAGGACTTAAGTTAAATGTACAAAACATTATGTATTATTTGTTTTAATTTACCTGTGGAAAATTACTTTGTATTGTTTTAATCAACAATAGCTTAAAAGGGTGTGCATTTTCTCTCACTTAACATTTTTAAATCTCTATTTTAAGGTGTCACTGCCTTAGCCCACTGTCATATTTCGCACACCTCGCATTATTGGCCGTCAAATAACAAAAAAGAAAATAACAGGTTATTATCATTCTGTGGCCTCTCGGAAGCTATGCTGTTTTTGAATATTTAATGACCCATGTCAGCTGCCTGCAGACGTCATTTCCATATTCTAGCAAAGATACAAATCCTGATCCGCTCGGCTGAAGATATTTGGAGTTATCAACAAAGACCTGAAGGTGGGGAATTCTAAACCTGTGTTATTTTCCTTTGAAGTTGCTATCGGCTAACAGGTTAACTGTAAAATCATTTTTTTTGTCTATGTGTGGTTACATTTACGGTCAAAGTTCCTGATCAGTTTGCTGGTAGCTGCATAGAAACTAACATGCCTGTCGGTTCAAAAATGAATTTTATTCCTTTATTGAAATTTCGCGTGGTAATCACAATGTCGAAAGTTGCATTTGTTCGGATCAAGGTAAAATTGAAAGTGTTCCACGCCTGTTAAAATTTCGAGCGTATTTTATTCAGAATGATCTTCGTCATGCAAACACTGTTTGGGTGTGATCGACCAACGGAAGCCGTCGACTATAAAATAAATTTAAATTAAAATGATCTTTTATATTTTTCATTGTATTCATAAAGAAAATGTCGGGCGTTGAGGTCACTTCAAATCCTTACATTCGCTTTCAACCTCCTTAAAAGTTCCTTTCCTTCCACTTTTTCCAGATGTAGTCTATCCAAGCTTTCGTTTCGGCAAATTTTACATAAATGTTGTGGTTATAATGTGTGACCAATATGAATTTTATGAACCTTTGCAATTGATGGATTAATGTAAGAGGTTGATCCAAAACTTTTTATGACTTTCGCACATTTATAGAAAACCACAGCTAAAACTGAAACTCGACTAAAATTCAAAAGTGGCCTCGGATTCATATACAGCTTGAGCCCGTTGTAAAATGCGCTGAATTCTGCCGAATTTTGGCTAGTTAATTTAACGGCTGGGTGAAAGCTGTCAACATTTTTCACTCACTTATTTTAAAATACTTAAGTTTGTGCTTTTTTGAAATAAATTTAAGCTCAGTATTTTCGATCCACTCATGGAAGGTCAAAGACGATTGATAAAAAAAATATATTCAACAGAAAAGAAAATATATCAAGGCAAGTCATGCTCTTTTCTGATTCCTTGAGACCAACTGGAGCGAATATCAAAACAAAAGTTAGGTGGTGTTTAAAGCGAGAGACTGGTAGGGTTAATTGTGGACAATTCGTCGACAGCAAAGAGTTCTCAATAAAAAAAAGCCACTATGTGAAGGAAGTTCTCAATATTATATATAAAAAAAGAACTGTAAAAAAATTGTTTTGGAATGGAAAAATACCCCGTAGTTCTCGTTTAAAACAATTCTCGACAAACTATTTTTCCACATCTCTGAGGCAGTAGTTGAAAACTAAACAACGACAAACTAACATCAGTGTTCATTACCAGCGGCTTCAGCTGAAAAGCATACAGCTATCACCTGCACAGCGAGCGGTAGTTACCAAGATCTCACAGAAAAATTTACTTGTCGATACATTTAACCTGTAGCAAGGGAAAAAGTAAGCCTCTAACGAGCACTAAATTGTCCACTTGTTTAAGCAGTAAAGTGAAATAAACAGCGACCTAAAGGAGGTGGACACCTGATGACAAATTATATCACGTAGTATACTTATTAGTATAGCAGCACTGCCAAGCATATGGTCTTAACGCTTAACAGTTAGCCTAGCTAGCACTCCGGTTAGCGTAAAAGCTCTATGGGCAGCCTAAATAGCACTATTGTTAGCCTAATTTACCTTAGAAAGCTTGCGGTTAGCCTACATATTATTGGGCTTAGCTTTAAGCCATCGATGGCCCTGAGGTTCTCGCTTGGTATTTCAACGACCTGGGTCCAATCCATCTTAAGGTCATTTTTTATTTAACTCGACAAAAGTGCAAACTGTAATCGATAACTCAAGTGTTAAATTTAAAGACGTTTCGCACAGGGAACCTCCAGGAGGTCGATGCCATATGTAAATTGTATCAGCTACAGTCGAACCTCGGTTGCGACCACCTCTCGTAAGCGAACGCGGCCACTTTTAGATCTTAAAGTTTTTCAATTTCCTTTAGTTTTTAACCTCTCGTAAGCGACCACTTGACAGATAATAGAGCGAAATTGGATAATATGGTGTTATAACATTATTGCATTCCTGGATAGTACAAGATACAGAAATTTCTCAATAGGAAGTACAGGATTTTTTCTTGAAATTGACTTTTCATATGAATAAAACATTTAAAACACGGGGTAAATCTCTCCAGTTACCATATGCTAATGAGGCAAAATTTTTGCCCAATATGGTAAGCTCTCGTAAGCAACCACCTCCCGCAAACGACCAGCTAGGCTTGACATTTTGGGTGGTCGCTTACGAGAAGTTCAACTGAATTTTTAAAAGTTGTC